AACACACACGTTCAAGAGCCCCCCCCAGGTCCCCCAACCCGCTGCCTGCCTAAGGCCGGGGTTCCCAGCCTGGGGTGCCCCAAAGGTCCTTGGACTACAGCTCCCAGAAGCCTCCGCCGCTCCTCGACAGGAACACACACGTTCAAGAGCCCCCCTCCCAGGTCCCCCAACCCGCTGCCTGCCTAAGGCCGGGGTTCCCAGCCTGGGGTGGCCCAAAGGTCCTTGGACTACAGCTCCCAGAAGCCTCCGCCGGCACAGCTGGGAGGGGTGTGTGTGTCTGTGTGTGAAGGCTTCTGCGCGTTGCAGTCCAAGGACACCCGGGTGACACACAGACACACACACACAGACACACGCACCCCACCCACGTTGGGGGCCATTGCTCTTAAGGGGCGGCCCTGCTGTGATGGGCATCACAGGCGTGTTCCCTTCCGGGGTCTCCTTGTGGGGCTGCCCTTGCCCTTGAATCGACCCTCCTTGGTGCCAAACGGGCAGGCATGATGGAACTGCAAGGGGGTTCCCTCGGGGGGGGGGAGGTTCCCTCGCATATCTCTCTAGGCCCCAACTTTGGGTCGCCCAGGTGTTCTTGGGCTGCAGCTCCCAGAAATCCTGCCCAGCACAGCCCGGAGGTGTGTGTGTGTGTGAAGGCGCCTGGGAGTTGCAGCCGGAGAACATCCCGGCTGGGCCCCCCTGCTCTCAAGGCACTCCCTGGAATCCCCTAAAAGGGGGGGGCATCCTCTGTGTCTCCCCGGTGGGGCCCAAGGTTTGGGATGTTGCCACCTTCCTTTGGTTCTGCAGCTGTGTTTCCTGCTGCTTTGCTCTCTTCTCTCTGCCTGCACAGCCTTTCAGGTGGGGGCTGACCAGGGTTGATCCACCCCCGGAAAGGTACACGTTGCTGCTTCCTGCATGGAAGCAAGGACCGCAGGTGGGGATGTCTCCGTCCTGTATTGAAGCGCACCCTGACTGGGCGCAGCAGTAGACCTTCTTCCTTTCTCTGGGGTGCCTGCATGTCACAGACAGTTATAGAGGCCTGTTTACACTGATAACTTTGAGAAGTCACTGGTTTAAACATATGACTGCCTCAAGGCACGTAGAGCCTTAATTAGATTAGGTATTGTTGCATCTAACAATTTCAGGGATTGTGCTGTCGGAGCAGCTCTTGTCTTGTGACATGTGACTTCTCTGGGACACGCTGCTCACTTCGAGAAGTGTGAATTATTACTTTATCGCATGGAAGTAAGAACATTCAGACTTGTTTACTCTCTCCTTAACACACTCGCTCAGCCTAAACCTTCTCATTGTATACAATGTGATAACGTAAGATGGTTTGAAACGTGCTTTTGGAATGTGTCCCAAATTCTTGTGAAACTCGTGGCCTCATAAAACTACAGTCTGTCTATTCTCTGTTGCTTTATTCACAAATTTTCCTTCCACACATGAATGATGACTGTTTGAGCTTGCAAATCCTGGGATTTTTGTCTTTTGTTTTGTGTGAAATGGTCCTGTGCTGTTGTGGCTTCTAGTGTACATGTCTGGTGGAAACGGTTGACCTCCTGTACTGGAGTTTCATGTCCAAGAGCTTCCATTCCAGTATTGTTTTCCATTCTGATGTCGCGGAGATCTTGCTAGCGCTGTGTGTTTTTATTGCACCTGGCACAATTAAGCAGCTTAGCAGACTGTGGAGGTCAAAGTACTTTTCTTTCCTGAGATAAAACGTATCTTTCTTTTTTTTTTTGCCCGCAGTTCTCTTGAGCAGAGTGTGCTTGACCAGGCCAGCTGCTGCTTGTGCTCTAGTCCACCACCACCTTCAGACGTGCAACATCCACACGTCTCCCAGAAGTTCAGGTAGGTCTTTCTTTTACGTTTCTATTGTGTGTTTTGTTTCATGTGCCTGTGCCAAATTGCGATAACTTTATGCTTTTTCTGGCAGAGTTGGGATAATTTTTCTGACCTTAGCTAGGAGAAACCTGAGGCATGTGTGGAATAAAGTGTTTTCTCTCCCCCCCCAAGTGTTAACGAGATCACAATCTCACTTCTGTTGCTACATGTCCACTTTTCTATGGTTATTTTACACCTGATCCACCTCCTTTCCTGAGATCCAAGGGTAGATGATCAAAACAAGTTTTATATTAGTAATTACAACTATTTGTTACTACATAATGGCTGTAGACTACCTTCTGGAGGAGAGACACCACACTGCTCAATGCTGGTTTCTGAGAAATAAGACTAGGAGAAAGATGCAAGTGATTCCTTTATTAGGCTATTAAAAATGAATTAAACAGTGTCTTCTCATAGGTCAGGCCCACTTCTTCAGGCCACACATCAATATTTTGTGTGGATTGTGCACAAAAATTATAAATGAGACTCCTCTCCCCAAATTACCTGTATACCTCAGACTAGAAAATTGTGGAATTCTGATGGTTTTTTTAAAAAGCTACTAAAAATCTTAATAGGTTTTGAATAAGAAGGAAGGGAAGTGAATGACTGTAATGGCATCTGAGTAGTGGTTAGAGGGTACCGCTTGTATGTAATCTCCTTTTAAACAGAACTTTCTGAACTCTGGGAATAAGTGGGGAGCATTTAAACACCTTGATGGGATTTCAGGTCGCAGGGGTTCTTCTCACCTGAAGAGTGCTGGGACCATCCTACGCATCAATCAATCACATGACCTTTCCTCTATTCCTTCTGCCTTCCTGGCTGGTTGTCACTAACAAACTCTAATTCTTCTAATGCTACCAAAATCAGGGGATCTTATATTGGATGAAATCCAGTAACCAATTGCAACTACAGTAAGCCCATTGAATCAGTGGGGATTTGTTGAGCTAACTGCTTGGTGCGTTCCATTGATTCAAGTAGGTATACTCTACAAGCGGATTTCAACCATTGTAGGACAAATCACGATCACTAACTTTCTGCGCGATTTGCTTCATTTGTGTTTGGTTATTCTGAACTCAAAGACTGTAATGTGGTGAATAACTGCAACGGACAGAATTGCATTCCCGGAGGTTGTGGGTTCAAGCCTTAGTTGCTGCACTAAGGTCTTGAATGCAGCATTACACTCTGTTTTCTGGTTAATCTTTCAGCTGTGCAGCGTCCTTGGTTTTCGTTTGCAGTGATCCATTAAATGTTTCAGTCTGTTTCATTTAGGATACAGAGTTGGACCTCTGGTTTCCAGGTGCGCTGAGACAGTGACTGAGGGTTGCTTTTGAGAACAACTTGGGATAATTCTTTAGAGGCTCACCAGTTCATGTTGCGGTTCCCTGACACCCCGTGTGTGTGTGTTTTTTTAATTCGGTACTTAAATGGTAGCTGTTTTTTGTTGAGGGCCTTCCTTCTGGAATATGTATGTAAAGGTGCGGCTGAATTTTAAGGTGCCTTTCGTGGGATGTGGGAGGAGTTTGCTCCTTGTCCTCTAATATCGTAAACTGAGCTTGGAAAATTTACTTTTTAATGTTATGCTTGTTCAGTTCTGAAAATCCGCACCCAGTTTGCCAAATGCATCCTCCTTAAGGGAATTTGGGTGTCAGTAGTCCAAAAATGTAGCCTTTCCATGCTCTGAATGAAAATAATGTTCAGTCAGCATTTTCTTTCTGGATTCCCATCTGAAACCAACCTGCATTTTGGACCAATCATTGACGGTGCTCTTCTTATTTATTGATTTATTTTATTAAATTTCTACCCTGCCCAGGCATTTTCTTTCTGGATTCCCACCTGAAGCCAACCTGCATTTTGGACCAATCATTGACTCTGCTCTTCTTATTTATTTATTTTATTAAATTTCTACCCTGCCCATCTAGACCAAAGGCCTGCTTTATGGTCTATCTTCTATGACAGCATCGAAATAAGATGCACGTATTTGGGTTTCCTAGGGTGTACAGTCCCGGACTTGAATAAACTTCTTTTACATAATGTGTCATTGTTCGTTTATTCTCGTGTTCTGTATACTCTAGTCGTGGCACATTCCCCCCTTGTCACAGCCTTAAAGCTTGTGATCTGGCTTACAGCTTGGAATGTTTTATTTAAAAGCAAGTTTCTAGCCCTCATGGCTGGGGAGATGTATTTGGGCACATACAAGCCATGCGTGGAAAAGCAACAGTATTCAGGGGGTCTAGTTGTGTACACCTCCCTCCCAAGGCTGCTTGCCCCTACTCTCAGAACTCCAGTTTATTCCTCTACCAAGACACCCTCAACTCTCTCTCTTGCACGCACGTTTACTTCTGTCACCAGCTTGCTGCATCTTCAGAAAAAACAAACAAACCACAACCTAAGGTATGCAGATATCTCTTCTCGGGTTCAGAATAATGCATGCAAATGGTTAATAAGGAAATCTGCCTCTGTTTCAGTGATCTGGGCTCCTAATTTGGTAGCTTGGGGGGGGGGAGATAATGAAATTTCTGGTGGCATCAGGATACCTGGACTTTCTTCCCCATTTTGGGGTGGGTGGGGAGAACGAGATCTTTAAATCCGTCCATCTTGCTTCAATGGTTCCCACAATTACAGACTCCGAGCTGTTAAGATAACTTTTACTTCCAGCCTTTAGGTACCACGGGCAAGCCATTCTGGAAAGTTAACAGGGCTTCCTCTCTCTGCAGCTGGCTCCCAGGCTGCCTCTCTCCATTGGACAGGAGAGCGAGCCGTCAGTGTCCTCCTGCTGGGGCTCCTGCCTGCAGCCTACCTGTATCCTGGACCCATCATGGACTATTCCTTGGCTGCAACTCTCACCCTCCATGGTCACTGGTGAGTAAGGAGGGAGGCAAACCAGTTGGACTCAAAGCCACAGGGTTGCTAGCCTTTTTGACTCTGTTCAGACTCCCACCTTTGAGATTTTCTCTTACTAAGCTGTTAGTTGGCTGGAATCCTCTTGTGTAGTTATGCAAAAGGTGCAACATTTAAAGGAGAGTTTCTGTAAGTTAAGAAATCTCTGTAGATGTTATCCATTGCATACCGAGTCCATGCAATACGTAATGTTTATGGAGATTTCTGGACTTGAAGCCTTTTGCCTCTAGAAGTTACACCTTTCATGTGATTGTATTTCTGCCCCTCTGTTAGACACTTCTAAGGTGCAAATAATGTAGATTTATCAGGAAGATGCTTCTTATTTTTAGTGCCTGTGAAATGAGACACACAAAAGAGAACAGCCATTCGTTACCATATCAGTTCCTCAGTTGAACTCTAGAGGGCTCTTTGGTATCAAATGTGCAATTTGATGCTTCGTAGAGCAGTAACATCACACTTTTAAAACTCTGGAGGATTTCAGTGTGTCAGTACATTAATCTAACCCAACAGGGCAACAATTAAAAAAAAACACCCACAACCTTCGTTAGGTAGCAATGTCCAAGCCATTGCTGCAGCCCAAGTTGACTAATCTCCAAAGTTTCTCTTCAAACAAAACTTGGTATTAGAAGGAGGTAAAAGCAGCAGCAGCTGCTGCCTGAATTTTCCTGGAGAAAGCACTTCAGAGGTGCCACCTCTTAAAAGGCCATGATCTTAGAAGGAATCCTCTTAATCCAGAAGGCAGGAGTAGCTGGAAGAGACTGACTCATGGAAGCATCCAGGCTGATTTCTTTAAGGCTGGGTTGTCTGGTATTAGGCATCCTGGCCTCAGAGCATCTAAGACTTTTAAGGACAGCACTTGTATTTTTCAAAAGGAAATTCGCTTGTCAATAAAAGCGATTGCTTCTTGCAGTGGAGGCCTTGCTAACATTTGTAATGCTGCCTTTCAGAGTGGTGATAGCTTCTGAAAATATTGGGGTCTGTTGATCACCTTCGCCTCTTAATTCTCATTATCTCTGGTTTAAGACTGGATGTGCTGTCTGCTTTCCCAGCTCGCTGCAGACATGACTTGGAAAAGGGTGGAAAAAGGGTTCCTGTTGAGCCCCTTCAATGTTTATTTCTTAGAGACGAAGGTGCTTCTCTGAAATCATCTGGCTTTTGCTGAGAACAGATCTTGGCCAGGAGAATGAACTCTCGGCCAGTCCCTGTAGCCTAGGTATAGGGCACAGGAAATGTTTGTCCTTTTCAGTGTTACTAGCCTGCCTCTCCCGTCAGCTCCTCATCGTAGGCCGTGCAGATTAGGACTAAAGAGAGTGGAAGCCCCAACAGCCTCTGAAGGGCCACATGGTCCCCACTTCCGCTCCGGGGTAACCTGTTCAAATTGATTTGCCAGTTCAGTGTGTCATCCTGAGCTCCTGATTGCCAACATTTTACCACCAGGTACAGAAACAAGCGACTTGAGAATCTACTGAATCAGACTATGGATCCTTCTAGTTCAGTGCTGTCTGTTCTGACTGGCGGCAGCTCCCTAGCATCTAAAGTGGAGACAGTGGTGCAGGTGGAGATTTTCCACTCTTACCTTTTTGCTTCATGCGGAAATTATTCTGCCTTTAGGAAGCGCTCGATAAGACATGAGGATCACCTCCCTCCCTCCCAAGTCCTTTAAGACACGGTTCTCACAGCATTAAGCTGCCAGCCCAACTCCCCCGTGGTGCTGTTGAGCCAAATGCTTTTAGTGGGGCAAGCTTAGTTTCCAAGGTTGCCTGCCGGCCAGACTCAGACTCAACTGGGTTGCTAAGAACCTTGTCTCTTGTGCATTTGCCCTGCCTCAAGATCCAGATCCAGCATTTCCAGCTCCCCAAATGTCCCTTGCTGCTGATTCTTTGGTCATCCGTTTGCAGGACTGATCACCACTAATCGCCTCTTGATTGTGCTTAATAACCTTCAGCATGCTCCCTTTTTTCTCCTACTCATGAAGTTTTCCCTTTAAAAGAAGTGTTCATTGTTATGAAACACGGTTTCAGCCTGCACCCTATTGCTTATCTGGAGGCTAATTAAGATTGCACAGAAAGGCTGCAGGTGGGGAGGAAGGAAGGTTCTTTTGTGACTAAGGTGGCCAACACCCCACTTCAAACAACGAGGCAAGTGAGCAAAGGTTATGTTGACTTTGGGATCAGCCAGGATTCCAATGGAGGCTGCCTTTATAAAATACCCTGGAGTAGGTAAGGCTCAAAATGTCTCTCTTTTCAGCCTGCTTCCTTCATGTTTTCCCCCCTTTCTTTTAGGGGCCTTGGACAAGTGGTAACTGACTACGTTCATGGGGAGACCTCTATTAAAGTGGCCAATACTGGCCTGTACCTGCTGTCGGCAGTCACCTTTGCCGGCCTCTGCTACTTCAACTACCACGATGTCGGCATCTGCAAGGCTGTCGGAATGCTTTGGAGCCTCTGAGACATGACGTACGCTACAGGCAAAACGCAATGATTGTTCACTGCTGCCTTCGCTTTGTTGTATTATCACAAAGTCATTGAGTGAGGAATAAAGAACAGCAAAGGGTCCTGTGCATGCAGCAGAACACTTGAAGGAAAATAGGTATCCAAATGTAGGCCTTCAGTTGTCGCTATTCAGTGAGATCTAGGATCTCTTGCCAAGAAGTGAACCAGACTTGAGATAGGCTAGAATCAGGGAAGAGTCCAGAGACGAAGCTCTGGGGTTAAGTAAAGGCAAACCTCTAATGATTGTAGTGGCAGCCAGTGAAGCTGGCTAGCCTCCTCCCCCTGTCAAGTGGCAGCTTGGTTTCAACGGGTGTAACGTAATTAGTTTTATTTCTCGTCTTATGTCTTCTTGGTCCCAACGGTGCAATTAGCGAATGGTGCACATGCATCTTGTGCAACACCCAAACGGTTGCAGTACAAAAAGGGAAAAATGTTTAATGTATGAACAATAAAGAGTTTACAATATCCTCAGCTGTTTGATTCTGAAATCTACTTATCTTGAATACTCTCTCTTTGTTATTTCTGAAAACAACACCTTTTCTTTAAGTAGGTAATATCCTTGGAAGTGGGACTATCCATTGAATGTGGTAGATCAATGAACTAAGTCTTTAATTCAGTGGTTCCCAACATGGGGTACACATACCCCTCAAGGCTAAAAACCAAGACATTCAGGGGTGTGTGAAAAACAATGCACAATGGCGGGAAAAGTGGAAGGAGGTGGATCGGCGGTATATACTGTGGATGGGTGTTCTGTAAGCATCTGCAAGCCTCCACAGCTCTCAATGGGTGGGTCCTTTAACTTAGGAAGAACTATTTGGCACCAAGTCTGCTATTTTGTTCAGTAGTGGATTAGGTTGCAGAGATGGGCACAAACCAACAGTTTCTGGCCCTGCCTCCTCGGGTGGATGCCCACTCCAAGGCAGCAACCCGGCTTCCCTACCCCATGTTCTCCAAGCACTGCCTCTTCTGAGTGGGTGCCCACTGGCGGAGGCGTGGCTGGGTACCGCCGAACATTGTTCGCCCAAAGGACAAACCGACGGGAACCACAGAAGTGGCGGTTCATGCCCATCTGTAGCACTAGTTATTTCTTTATTCGTTGCAGCTTGTGTGGAGGAAACTCCGCCTGTCTGCCAAGCAATCTTTCCTTCCTTAAGTCCATCTGGAAAACAAGCCCTTTTAGGACTTCTGCACATGTGTTTGCTGCCCTTGTTCAGGCCTGCGTCCAAATGTTTCAGGAAATATGCCGCTGGTCCACAGTCTGACAGGGAGATGGGGATCCCATCTGTTTACTGCAATGGAAACCTGCAGGCAACAAATCATGGCGTTTTATCTCAGTACCTCTGTGGAACCCAAAACTCTCGGGTGGGAGACAAGCACCCATTCCGGTCACAGAACTGCCTTTCCTTCAACATTTCCACAGACCTGGTAGTTCTGATGCACACGGCAGCAGCTTCACTTTGGTAATTGGTTTATAAAACACTTCATATACCTCATCGAGCTTTTGATTGAGTATCTTCCTGTTTGCTTTGCATCATACATTCTCCTTGGTAAATGGACTAGAAACTTGCTTTAAAATTAATCATTTTCCACAATATGTTTTGTGCTGGAAACATGATAGCATAAAACCTCAAAAGCCATGAACCCCGTTCCCTCCCCCCCAGAAGTGCTACATATGTTTTGAATGTCTCAAATACTTTAAAATCTTTTCTGATTTCATTCAGCTGATTTCCCTAAAAGCAAAGAGGTGTTTGTAGCCAAATTGCTCAGATTCCTGAGCACAGATGCTGTCCAAAATGTTTTTAGGCACAAATTCTACTACTCCATTGAGAGAGGTCTGTGCATGTTTAATTTTTTGCAGATGTCACTTTATTTATTTATTTATTTATTCGATTTTTACCCCGCCCCTCTAGACAACGTCTACTCTTGAAACCTAACCCACTTGAAACCTAATGCAGGAAATAGAATTCTGCTTTGCAGTCTTATTTCCGTGTAGTGTCTCCTAAATGCAGTGCAAGAGTTCTGATTAATTTTAACAGTGGATTAGAAGAGTGTGCAACTTCTGAAGATAACAAACTTGCTATTAACAAATCAATGCTGAAATAACCAGATATTTCAGTGAGCAAATGTTAAGTAGATCCAAGTAATTTATAGTTTTCATGGTGTTTACAACTGCACACATACATGTTTTTGCAAGGCAGTATTCTAACCTATTGCTGATGGCTGTGTTTGCTGAAGTGAGATATTTATTGAAAATCTGTATGTTATGGCTACAGGTACTTGTTTCTAATATATTTAGAAAGATTTTCATTCTAACATCAAGCTTCTTAAACTTGCTACAAAACTGTTTATTTTCCTTTCCCTGTTAGATGTGTGGGTTCTGCTTTCCTTTATTCCTATGATTCAAGGATTATGCAACAGATGTACTCATGTATGAGTCATTAGGGGTGTGTCTGCTCAAACTAGGAAACCTTTTTTGCACAGTTTGATGAACCTGAAGTTACTTGGCGTACAATACTTTTTATATGATACATTTACTTTAGGATTTCTAAAGGGGCAAGTCTTGGAGTGACCCCTTTATTAATCTGTGCCACCCTTTGGATCTATGTGTGTGTGGGGGGGACTAAATGTTCTGAAGATGAATATGAAGAGAGGCAGTGTTGAGCCTAAGACTACATGTGCTTTGTCTCCAGTAAAAGGATTTTAATGTGGAGAAAAAACAACAACATGTAAGGCTTCAAAACAGACAGTGCTGGACTTCTAGATCTGATTCGACTCGGTATCCACATTGGTCAGTTATAGGTAGGATAAAAAGGCTAAAAAGAAGCAGAACCTCAGAGGGATACAAATGTGAATGAAAGTTGTAAGAGTTATGAAGTGTCCAATGACTTTCATTGGTCTTTGACTAGGCACTGTGTTCTTAAGAGCAATATTTTAAAATGTTCAATAAAAATTACTCGGAACCAAGATAATCTCTAGCATCCAAAATCATGAACAACCACACTGAACGGAAAATGGACATTTATAACGTCATAAACAACCATGTTAAGTTGCTACCTTCTGCTTTTGTTTTTTAATTTTAAGTTTTACAATGTACAGTATAATGTGGTTGTTTCACAATCCAGGGGGCAGTTAAGGACTGTTTTCACTTAAACATACGGCACTTTTCTTCATAGTATTCTTTATTTCGGTCTTTGCAACAAGTTTTGTCTGTGCTACTTTCACAGCGATTTAGAGGAGTGGGAGGAATGGTGTATCTGTAGGGATTCGTCCACTTCGTCCGTAGTTTCCATTTTCTTTACAATGAGTTTTGTGGCTTTGCTGTTTTCATCCCATTCAAATGCGAGGAAGCAGTCTTTTTCCAAGGCGGACTCAAACATGAAGAACTGGTGGTCGCCTTCCGAAAACTGTATTTTGTTGAAGATCACATTGCTGGATTGTCCAGCAATGCGTCTCGGAACATTTCCTTCCTGAAATGTACAGCACATCTATTTCATCTTATTTTAAAAAGGAAGGTCAGAGTTATGGGAATGGGGCTTGAAACAACTTCAACTTTAGGCCCAAATCACTAATAGTGGATATGCTGAAGCAGCCTAGAGACGCAGGCTGACTTTTCTAACCAGGCAGTTTACGGAACTTACCTGATGGTGGTTAGGCTTCTTACTGATTGAATTATAAACCTGCATCTCTGTAATGTAAGCCCATTGTCACAGACTGGGCTGAACCAGTAGGTTCCTGTCCTGTTTCATTGTCCCTTTATGCATAGAGGAAAAAGACAACATGCTGATCAAGCATTTTACACTCAGCAGCAAATTGCCATGATCGTAGAAGTGACTTTATTGGAAGTAGCTTTGCTGAACCACAAGGCAAAGCACTGGGTTTTCTGTCCCAGTATCAAATGTTTTACCCGAGTCTTCTCTTGTGCACTAGCTCTGCTCAGTCAGGTTCTGAAACCTGGTCTTGGGAGCTGGTTTACAGAAGTGTTCGGGGAAAACTGGTTTGGGATTACATCTGGATTTGCCATATTGTGATTTGAGATGTTGATATTCAAAGTGGTTTATCCCAAATTCTGAACAAAACTGGCACAAAATATTAACATGAAACAGTTGACTGGCTTTCATAAAAGAAAATACTGAAGGTTGCACACCAAAGTATTTCCTTACATGCTTGACCTGTGGAAGTGCTCTATGAAAAAGTCAACAGGGGTGCTTAATTGGCAGTGGCTTACCTTAAATTCCACCCTCATGTTGCTGCCGTCTTTCACAACACACATGTAGTAGGTTTTGCTTTTCCACTCGGTGGTAAAGGCCACTGGCAGTCCTCTGGGAATATTTGTGTCTTCATACATGTGGATGGTGAATTTGGTTCCAGATGCTGTGCACAAAGAACAAAATATCAAGCCACTTTAAAAAAAAGCATCTAGCAGCTGCAAACAAAAGCTTGGTTCCTATAGCTGCATCACTTTCAATGGTGGCTATTGCTGATATCATTTCTCATCCCTTTCTTTGATCTACACGAGTGGTTCCCAACCTTGGGCCTGCAGGTATTCTCAGACTCCAACCCCCTGAAACCCTGGTCAGCACAGCTAGTGGTGAGGGCTTCTGGGAGTTTTAGTCTAAGAACATCTGGGGACCCAAGGTTGGCAACTTCTATAGGAAAGAGCTGCTCCACTCCCTCACCCAGGATGGATTTTATCCATTACACAAAGTATACCATTTTTCTGCATTAAGAAATCTCAAAGTCTTTCTTTCTGCATCAAGGGCTGAAAAAAAGGCCTTTAATTTGCCTGGCAGAGTATATGGCCTTTATGTGGTTTGATTATGGCCTTTGTAGTTAGGGGTCTGGGCATGTATTCAGTTATTTTGCCAACACAAGCCATGGTTCCACACTTGAAGTAAACTAATATGAGAAGAACTGGAAGCTGAGAGCACATGTTGTGGTGAGCACACCTTTTCCTACTGCCTAATACGTGACCTTTTACAGATTTGAAAGTGTTCTTTGTATTTTCAGCCAAGAGAAGAAGAGTATGGTATACCTTGAGAGCTTTCTTCTAGTATTTTAAACAATTTGCTTGTCTAACAAAGGTAGCCATGGGGTGTCAACAGAATCCATAGAATATCTGTGCGCATTTTCTGTCTTAAAATAGTTTGTACTGAAAATCTGCAAGAACAGCGGTTTCATTCAACAAGTAGCTACTTGTTCCATTACTGAGCTGCTCTTCTACATAACACAGTTTCCTCTTGCTGTATACCCTAATTATGCATCCCTGTAGTTTAAAAAATGTTACATTGGTCCTGAGGTCAACTCTACAGCATCTTGTTCCATGCATATTATTCAAATGCATGGAATCTGAGGTTTTAAAAAACTGTTCAAATTTCAGAGGGCTGTGGAATAGTAACTTTACCGTTTTGTACTTCTTGGTCTGTCACAGGCTCAAATACTGCCCTGTGTTGATTAGAATCTTCTGGACAGGCTATTAGGATGTGATTCTTTCTGTTTCGGAGGATTTGGGTTTTTTCACATTTTTCAGATATTCTCCAGCTGTCACTTTCCAGCAGACCTTATAGGGAGAAAAACATTAAACATGGAGTTAGCTTGAGAACTGGAGATTTTTTTCCCCTTCCAGAATATAATTGAATATGTAATGGAGACTGAGCAATTCAGGAGAAATAGCTCCTTTGCTGTATTGCCACTTCCTCGCTGTTGAATCTCATTATGAGTTGCTGGTCTTCATGGAAGTTCACTCTTGAATCTGTCAAAAAGATCCAGGCTCATACCCTAGGCATACTGTTCATAATCATCCCTGTATGTTTATGGGAACTGTGTAAAGTATGACCAGAGAGTAATACCAGATGCATTTAAGGGTGAGCTGAAATAAAGTATGGGTCTGACTCCTGATTTTTTCTTAGACTGAGAACATGAACAGTGATCATGAGTTCCCTCCCACCCTACCTTTATCTTGTGCATCATCATATAATATTCCTTGAACTCATTACACCAAAGTTCACATTATATTGAAACAGAGAAACTGGCTTAATGCCTACTTTTTAACCAGGATATGAAACTAGGATCTAAGGTTGGTTTCATATCCTGGATTGTAAACAGAGGTTAAGCCACAGCTTCTCTGTTTTCTAAAACCATGATAGAAGCGCAGAAGCTGGGAGAGCAAGGAGAGGATGATGACAGAGTTTGCAGGGACAATACTGACAGACACTAGTCATATATTTTTCTTTTGGCTGAGATGACTATATTTGAAGGGAAGCCACACGTGACTCCATTTTAGCAGGTAGTACTGTAAAACCTGTATTATTCTGCTTGCTTTTGGACTTTTAAAACGGTTTTAAATCTTTTTCAAAAATTACCTTTTGATACATCTTATCCTGGGGGGGCACAAAAAACCCCACAATTGATACTTTTTATTTGTTTGTTTGTTTGTTTGTTTGTTTATTTATACATACCTTAATAACTTCTGAACTGGTCCTGTAGAACTTCTCCTTGGCAATTTTTTGAACAATTCTGTTCAACTTTAAAATTCTTTTCCATCTGTCTTTTTTATTACAAAATGCTACATTCAGTTATATCATATGACATCGTAACCAGAGATGAAATAGGCATCAGGATTTACTGGTTTATGTGATCTAATTTACTGATAATGTCACTCATCTTGTTATGCATTGCACCATATCATGTTATGACACTTGATTTTCAGTAGGGTATGTGGAATGATGTGTCTTTGTTTTCATAAGCTATTGCTGAAGATGCAGTCAAATATTGCTTATGAAAAATAGGTATGATATGTAGTGCTAAAAAGGAGTCCCCACAGCTTAAAAACAGAACATAATTTGAACTGTATTTTTGATACAAAAATTAAATACATTTAAACTTTAGTAATGTTTTGGTTTGTCAACAATGGCAAGTAATCAATGTACAGATAGTATGAAGCAGAAAATTGCTTCTGCTTACCTGCGTCATCCTCTTTGTAGCAACCAAGCAATGGACAGAGGGGAGAGAAAGAGAAAAGACATTACATTCTGCACCCAGAAAAGTTACAGTCATTTGATCAGCTTTGTTCTACCAAATTAGAGAGAACCTACGTCTTCAGCCCTCCGCCTTCATCCATCGGTTTAGAGGTCCAAAAGTAAAAGCAAATGGCAACAAAATTGTGTCATTGATGAAAACTGATTACTTCCCTATGAGCTTTAAAAAAATTCTAGGCGTGTTACCTCCAAAGGTTAAAAAGGTGATAATTAGGAAAGACAGAAAACAAACTCCTATATGCTATATTTTTTCCAGGCTGTATCGCCCTCTCCTGCATCAGACTATTTAGATTTCCTTGCCTTGTCTTGCTATGTCACTACTAATGTATTTCCATTAAATGTCTAGTAACCAAAGTGCCCACGTGACTTGCAATTCCCCTGTCCCCTAAGCTTCTGTAACTAGGAGAGTTTACTTTTAGTGTCTATGTGCTGCTGTGATTAGGTGCTATTCTGTGCGGTGTTACTAAAGTGACAGTGAATTATGAATCTTAACATTCAACACACATCCAAATAGAACATCCAAAGTTACCTTGAAAAAATAAAATGCCATCATTAAAATGCACAGGAACCATGGCAGTGTTAAAAGACATCTTTGCTCTGAAGGAAGGGCAGCTGAGGGAGGAAAGAGAAGACAGAGAAGAAATGGATGTGTTAGAAATAGATTTAACTCTCTTCACAACAGGCTAAAATAGAAATTTATTTACTTGTTTATGCTCAGATGCTTGTGGCTGATCTAGCAAAGATATGGGAAGCAGTAGTGTGGTTGTCAACTACTTAAAGACTTTCCCATTGTGGCATGGGCTTTAAGTGACACGTTATTTAATAATGAAATTACATTTACGGAGATGTACCTATGGAGGTGCTTTTTAGAGCCCTAAAGGAGGAAGGTAGTTTATTTTTAAAAATGCAAGCATTCAACTCAGAGGGAATTGTTGAGAGTTTTTTTTTTTTTTTTTGCTGTTTTTGTTTCTAAAACAGCAGACAATGCTGTCTTAGAGGAAATTGTGGAAATGTCTCTGCACACATTCAGAATATCCGATGATGAAACTGAGCAATGTAGGCCCCCTGAAACTAGGGCATTCCCAAGCATTTGATTTCTCCTGCAGTCAGTCGGCACCATTGATCAATTGGTATCTGTTCCTCCCATCTTTCTTCAATACAGAACCTTCTGTAAACAATCTGTTTTGTGCCAGGAGCTCATTTGGGTATAATAAGGAGCTGAAAAGGATGTAATTACCACATGCTTCTTACACAATGGCTGAAACTCATTTGAGGATTTGGTGTATCAGCTCCTCCATAAGTTCCATTGATTCCTCTGTTGTTGTTATGTGCTGACAAGTTGCCTCAATAGATTTAACTCTCTCCACAACAGGCTAAAATAGAAATTTATTTACTTGTTTACGCTCAGATGCTTGTGGCTGATCTAGCAGTGCTAGTTCAGTGCTTGTGGCTGATCTAGCAAAGATATGGGAAGCAGTAGTGTGGTTGTCAACTACTTAAAGACTTTCCCATTTTGGCATGGGCTTTAAGTGACACGTTATTTAATAATGAAATTACATTTACGGAGATGTACCTATGGAGGTGCTTTTTAGAGTCCTAAAAAGGAGGAAGGTAGTTTATTTTTAAAAATGCAAGCATTCAACTCAGAGGGAATTGTTGAGAGTTTTTTTTTTTTGCTGTTTTTGTTTCTAAAACAGCAGACAATGCTGTCTTAGAGGAAATTGTGGAAATGTCTCTGCACACATTCAGAATATCCGATGATGAAACTGAGCAATGTAGGCCCCCTGAAACTAGGGCATTCCCAAGCATTTGATTTCTCCTGCAGTCAGTCGGCACCATTGATCAATTGGTATCTGTTCCTCCCATCTTTCTTCAATACAGAACCTTCTGTAAACAATCTGTTTTGTGCCAGGAGCTCATTTGGGTATAATAAGGAGCTGAAAAGGATGTAATTACCACATGCTTCTTACACAATGGCTGAAACTCATTTGAGGATTTGGTGTATCAGCTCCTCCATAAGTTCCATTGATTCCTCTGTTGTTGTTATGTGCTGACAAGTTGCCTCTATATTATGGTGACCCTATAAAGGAGCAAAATGTCTTGGCCTCAACTGTCTGGCTCCACTCTCGCAAACTCAGGCCTGCGGTTCTTTTAGGGAGTCAATCCACCTCGTATTTGTTTTGTCATCCTCTTTTCCTGCTGCCCTCAACCTTTCTCAACATTATGGTCTTTTCCAGAGAATTTTGCCTTCTCATGAGGTGCCTAAAGTAGAACAGCCTCAGTATCAACATGTTTTGCTTCCAGAGAGTGTTACAGCTATCTGCTTTAGTTTCAGCTTATTACTGGATTTCAGTTGTAACTTTCAGCTTCTTTGCCACTGACTGTTTTATTATAGCATCACTGGATCATTCACAATAATTTAAATTTGCTACAACATGTTCTAGCCATGTTCTGTAGATGTGGCTACTTATAATACAGTCAATGTGTCCCTTCGTTTTCCACTGGAAGCTGAAGTGTGTTATAGTTCCTTGTGGTACCTGCTGGAGATTGGCAATACTATCCTTTAAAGCTACTCAGTAATGCAAGGGCAGATTGTCTTAACAATGCCAAGAAAGTTGCAAACAGTTTAGAAAATGTGCCAGCAACATCTGTGGTGAAGGAATTTGGATCACACTGCGTGCATTTCAGGGGATGGCCTGGTAGGCTGTTGTCTCCCCTCAACAGATAGTTTGATCTGGATCACTGTCATCTTAAAACAGCATTGGAAATGAACGTTCCTACTGATCTTTCTTCATATATTTCCCAAAGGTACAACTCTGACCCTTAAACCATGTTAATTTAATCTACTACCAGTTTTCATAATCAGAATTCACATTTTCACCTTCTTCAATTATGGAGGCAAAGCCTTTTTAAAATATTCCCACAGAACAAGGATAACACCAGTCATCCTTGGCTGGGGCTGATGGGACCTGCAGTGCATTGATTTCCAATCCTCACCAAACAAGGTTGGTCTCGTGTAGAGAATAGAAACCAGGAATAGTTTCCGAAGACCTGTAAGGCAATATAAAAAAACCCAGGCACTTCTGGGGTTTATTGCCTTTCCGGAGCTGCCGCTCTGTGATTCACGCTGTTTGGCCGGGTGCCATCCCCACAGACAATAAAACGAAACATCAAAAGTTAAAAATTCCATGCCCCGAGGACTGAAGCAGAAGGGAGATCTGATGTGAGCAATGCCTGTACATCAGGTGAAAACGAGATTGTCTACCTGCACTGAGAAACCTTCTTTTAACCTAATGCGCACCTTTGGCAGAGGCGCTGGTTGAAGGATGAAGGGTAGGGGCTGCCAAGTTTAGACGGCCAAAGTATTTCATATCAGTTCATCTGTCGCATCAGGGGAATGGTGTTTTTTTTTTTTTTAAAAAAAAAGAAATCTCTTACAAATATAAAGATCTCGGGCACTGATTGTTTCGCCCAGCTCCTCTCGTCCCGGCTGCTTCGCTGGGATGCTCCGCCGCGCACCACTTCTAGGCCGGCTGTCCGGGCGCCACTTCTCCCCCAGCTCCCCAGTCTCTCTCCCCCTCCCTGCGAACTGGGACAGGGGCGAGGATCGGTAAGGGAGGGCGCGGAAGCAGCCCCACCACCGCCTCCTTCTTGGAGCGCCGCGCCGGGAACTGGAGCTGAGTGGGTGGCAGGGCGGAGGAGGGTGCCCGCTCACCTTCTGGGCACTTGTCCCCAGCCCCACCCCTCAACCCTCTCCTTCTCTGCAGGGATGGTGTGTGTGTGTGTGTGTGTGTGAGTGAGAGAGAGAGAGAGAGAAAGGGATGGGGGAGAGGCGCCTACCTGCCTCCGGCTGGGCCCGCCGTGGAAGATCCGAAGGGGAAACTGCCCCGGCTGAGCGCGCACCGGCGACTGGGGAAAGGAAGGGAGAACCGCGGGTCGGTTGGTGGGTGGTGCCCGGGAGTAGGAAGGAAGGAAGGATGGATGGGCGGTCTTGCTTGAGCCCGGCGGCCGGGCCCGAAGGCTGCAGCCCCGGCCCATGGCGCTGATCCACCGGGGAGATCTCGCTCGCTCGCGCGTTCACTCGTGCGTTCCAGCCGCGTCTTGGGAAGCTTTTGCGCTCCTTGGCGGAGCTCAGCCCCGGACAGGACTGGGATGGGGCTGGGAAAGACCCCATGGCTCCCGAGAGTTGCCCCCCCCGGTGGGCTGAGAGGGCCACCTCCCCCCTGCTAAAAACACCGGGGCAGCCAGCAGTTTGGCCTGGGCTACGGCAGCTGGAGTTGTAAGAGCTGCCTTCTCTTTGGCGCGGAACTGCCTTGAAGTCAAAACATGCCTGCTTGAAATGCGGGAAGGCCGAGACTGAATGGTCTGGTGACTATTGCGGCTCTTGGCTTTTATTGATGGCTCTCTGCAAGCCGTCCGTGTCTACCTGAATGCATCTCCCCTGTATGCAGAACCAGTCTAGTCAAAAGGATACAGGATATCCGTAGGCATCAGTGGGCAAGCTGGTTGCTCCATCCTCAGTTTGCTAATTTAGTTCTTTCAGCGTTAACCATAGATCCTCCCCTTTTCTCTCTCTCTTTCTTTAACCTGCTTCAGAAGTACTACAGTATATAGACCATTGAGTACCTGTATTTGCTCTTATAGGGACAAGAAAACTTCTCAACCTGTGCCAACACTCTAAAAATTAATTCTCCTACTTCATTTCTTAAAGCTATGAGGTGCTTCCAGTGTCTCAACATCCTAAGGTACCAGGAGAAAGACAGACAATCGAAATACTGTACAGTTTAAGTGCAATAGGTAAAACCTGTCTTTATCCCAAAATGTGGTGTTATAGGCCACCAATTCGCATCTGACTTCTAGCAACTCTTTATAGAGTTTTCAAGGTATGTGAGACATTGAAGGAGTGCTTTTACTCTTGCCACCCATTCAGTGACCATGACCAAACATAGCCTGGAGCCCAGCTCTCCTCCTGAGTTCATCCCTTTAGCAGCCACTACACCACACTGGCTCTCATTTTCCTTAGAGGCAGAAGCAGCCACTTTAATAGCTCCCTGTGCAGCCAGAGGAGGCAGAACCCGTAGTGGACAAGTTCCATAGATACAGTACGTACCCAGAAGAGGAAGGGAATAGATGCAGGAACAAGGGTCTTGTGGCCCCCTAATGACTAAATGGCATAAGCTGTCCTGGACAATAACCCCTTGATGAAGTGGGCCAGCTTATATTAAATAATTTCTTTTAGTCTTTAAAAGTGCCAAATGTATCTGTTAATTCATGTCAAAGCTTTTACTAACAGCATCAGTGAACAAAGCTTGCTATGAACAGAACTATAGTTGCCAAGCTTTCCCAAATTCTTGCAATTTAAAGGGAAAGTTGATTCTGAGAAATATATTGCCATCACGAGGCCATATAAAGGTTACTTCTTCTTTTTCTTATCTTTGAACAAAATAAAAGTTTGTTAGGAACCACAGGATCACTAGCATTAAGACCCAGTCCACTTTGGAATTTGAATTGTACATCCTAGAAGAATTATTTTCTTATGAATTGTTAATATTTGTTTGGAGCATAGACCATGTTGTGTGTATAAACACATGTTTTTTTCATAAGAGGTAATGGGTTGTTGATTCAAGTATTTATATTGATACCTCTTCTACTTCACTTTTTCTATTCAGTTTTTGTAAGAAACAAATATGAAGTTATGAAGAAGTGGTTACGTGCTTTCTTTTAAATCTCAAAGTACACTCCTGGACACATAACTAATTTCCTGAGTAATTTAATTATTTATTTCCTCACGTGGTGTCAGTGATGGAAATTGCAGAAGCTAAACAGATTAGCCTGTGAGACTAACTCATTTCGTTTCACTGTTGACCATGTTCGATTGTGGGTAGCTTGTGGACTCCACAAATTTGGAGGGGTGCCTCCACAACCTTAGTCACAAGAGTTTGCTAGTTTCACTGTGACCCATCTCGCAATGAAAGAAGGGGAACATGACTGGAACCAGAGATTTTTCAGGCATACAACTTAGAAGGAACTGAAAGAAGGAGAGGAAGCAGTTGCTTTTGTGTCAATTTGTGCTTCCGTCAGTGTCCAGGAAATGTCAATATGTTGTAGGCAGTGATGATATGTGGGGGTAATTAATTTTGTAGACTGTGGTATGTTTTTAGAGTCTCTTAAAAAGGGGTGGTGATGTAACATTGCTGCATCCACTCCCTTGATTTATTGATATGGTTATTTACATGATGGACTTATAATGGCCAGTAAACAGTTTTTTGAATAGCTAAACCAATCAAATGATTGTCTTGGATCAGTGAACACTCTTGTCACAAAGACTCAGTGCCTGGGAACTTGTCCTGTGGGCACATCAGTATAATAGTTGATGCCAGACTTTGGCCTGCTTATTGTTGGAAAGTTTAATTTCCCTTTAGTATTTGTGTTTGCAATCGTAATTATATTGGCATTAGCTTCAGTGAGGACACTTTATTCACAGCTCAGTGATGTAGCAAACTATTCATCTGAGAGACTATTAAAATTCTATTTGAAAGCATTTGTATAATGCCAGGGGTGTGTGTCTCTTTTATCCCATTACTGAGTTTGCAAACTACTTTAAAAGGCCACTTTCATATTCTTATTTTAATAGGCAATATTTAATCATCTGATAGAAGCATCTGCAGATTATAAAATGGCTAATTCCTGTACTGAATCTAATGGAATATTGCAGTGACTGTGTTTCTTGGGGTGGCAACTGGCAAGAGGTGTCAGGGCTTCCTTGTCATTTTTTGTAATATAAAGTATTCTTAGAATTTAGGGCATTTAGAAGGATACCTTTTTCTGCCCTGATATTTTGGACTAGTGGGCAGTGTTTATTTTAGATTCAGTCTCGAAGGGCTTCACTCCCAAACTGTATCAAGACTTTTGTTCTGTATTGCAAACATTTCTGTCTTTAACAAACATATGTTGTTTAGGCAATATTAGCAACGATGTTATAAGTCTCTGCAGGGTATATTTATATTTCTGTCTTCTGTCATTTCATTTCTTCTGCCTCATTTGCTTGCCTTATTTGCCTGATTCCCTCAATCCCAGGTGCCATGCCATGTACCTTAAATCTCTGTGTATATTAATTTGGAATAACTGATTCATTGACTTCTCAGAGGAGATGATAATTCTCAGTTTGCGGTAAGCCTGTGTAGCTTGCTGAGTTCCAGTGTTACCAATTCAGTGATGTCAAGGTTACACTGAATTTCAGTGTAATCCTTTTCTTTTACAGTGCCTGCAGTAAATACTTACAAGTACCCAATGGTTTAAAGGGTATTTGAGGATAATTCCCCTACCTTGCATTATGGATGTTGCATATAGATTATGCATAAAGAACTGTGGAGTAGATATAGTTGTTGATGTTGAATATGGAGCTGAAGAATGTTCCTTTGTGAGGAAACAGGGAGTTCTCAGTAGGTTTGATATTGTGCAATGTGGAAGGTTCTAATTTACAAGACACTGCATGCTACTTGGTACCTAATACACAGATTATAGCATTTATTCTAATTACTGCCGTGCAACATCCACCTAACAGTCAGTGTCCTGTGAATATTTCACTTGAGTGTCTTCGTTGGGCTGGACATTTGGGAAAAGGGGGGGTCCCCTGATTTTTTGTGCTGCGTTGAGGTCCCCCCTTATTTGCTGAGGCTTTTTGTTCATCGCTCATATTCGGGCGATATAAAGACCGGAGGTCAGATGAGTAAGGATGTTCTTTAAGGGGGACACTGAAGACTTAACATATTTTTGCACTTTTATTTGTTTCCTTTGCAGAAAAGGAGAGCCAGAAGTGACCCTCGTGCAAGTGGCAGATCCACTGCTCAGAGATTGCTCCTGCACTTTCTGGTTGTCTTACTCTAAGCTCTTGCTAGCAAATTTTTCTGGGCTCTTGCCACCTGCTATTTCAACCTGGCCCTCTCTTGCAAAATTACCAGGTGGTTTTCACAGTTCTAACATGGGAGTCAACCAAATGCTTTGGCTCTATGCATAAAGTCCTTTCTGGAGAAAAGCTTGTGCAAGCGAGTTATCTCCATGTGAACTAAGGATGGGCTGAACTTCTGGCTCTGGCTGTGGTGATGGATTAGAGTTGCTCTTTCATCTGTCACTATCTTGGCAATTTGACTCAATGCAATTCTCTTTGAACATTTCCACAGATTCTCCTGCCCTATTTTAAAAGAGAACAGACTGGCAGGGCCATTTTTGTAGCTACTTCTTGTACTGTACTTGAATTTGTAATGTTACTCTTGCTGATTACAGGCACCCTCCGTGGGTCATACTGAAGAAAAGCTAGAAATTAGGCAAATTCCTTATTTATTTGCAAAAATAGGGTATATCTTTATTTATTTTATTTATAGGCTGCCTCCCCTCCCCACAGCCCTTCAAGTGAGGAAGCCCTTGTTATTTAAACTGCAACTCCCAGACACCCACCACCACCACCAGGATGGTTTGGAGAGTCCTTCACAAGAGTGACTCTTTCACTGATATTTTTATTGCCCTAAAATAATTTTTTTTTTTAAAAAACGGAGAGCACTCTCCCCCTGAAGTTTTCTCTCTCACACCCACACAGGCATATATGTATCTCCAATCCTATTTTGGATTTGAAGGAGAGGATTTTAATTTTTTTAAACACACTTTTATTTCACACTCCGTCAAAGGAAAGGCACAAAGAATGAAGAGGGGGAGCCCCTCCCAACGGTCGCCTGGTCTTTTTGTTTGTTTGTTTTTTATTTTTTAAGGCAGCCCCTTAAAAATAATCCATGAGTCTTTCAACGTCTTTCTTGGAGACCAACGAACAACCTCCCTTCCCTCCCCATCCCCCAAACCCGCAATCTCCCGCCAAAACTGCCTCGGCGCGCGCCGGAAGGGGGCGTGGCCTCGGCACGCGCGGACTTCTTCTAGCCGCCGCTTTGCCGTGCACGAGTTGCGCACGCGCGAGTCGATGCGGGGAAACTTGGGCGGCTCAGAAGAAAGCGGGAAACCTCCCCTGAGGGACGCGCTTTGTTTTTTTTAAAACACAAACCCACACATAAGAGTAAGACGGCTTTAGGGGCTCCGAAAGAAGAACAAGGCAGACGTTTCATTTTAGAATGGCTGAAAGAGGCGGAAGCTGCCAGGCTTTTTGCTCTTCTCGCATTAGCCTGTCAAACGCCTGAAAGATTTTTTTTTTAAAAAAATATTGTAAGTGGCCAAAGGCATCCTTCTGAGAGCCAGAGCAGATTGTCTGAGGCGGTCCTGAGACGCGCCTTGTTTATTTTACACATACGAATGAAGTACACACAAACACACACATGTACAGGCATGAGGGGAAAAATGCGTCGAACCCAGGCTTTCGCATATGGGCATCCTGAATACTGACCCTTGAAGGGAAGAGTTTGGGTTTGATAAAAGAAAAGAAAAAACAAACGGGCCTCTTTCAGTGACTGAGAAATTTCTCCTCTTTGCAGTTTTAAGCAAAGATTATTTCAAACATCTAGTTTTTTTCCCTCTGTGTATGACTGGGAGATGGTGGTTTAAGGGTTTTCCCCCCTCTCTCTATTGAAAAGTGAATTCACCGCACTTCTGTACAAATGGGTGGTGTTGAAAAATCGTGTAAAACCCTCGATCTGCGGCATACTGACAAAAATTTTTTTCACTTCCTTTCCAAAAGGGCTGCCCTGTTTCGAGTTCCTTCCCCGTAGCCTCCTCAAACGGAAGCCCATGCCCAGATTTTGTGTACTGTAGTTTGTAGTGCTGGGAAATTGTGTAGCACATTGGCAAAGCCTCCATAACCTCCTCTTGAGCCCTAAATACTGTATTATTTATTTAAGATATTTGTAACCTGCCTTTCTCCTTAAAAAGGACCCAAGGTGGCTTCCATTATTGAAAGACAATATTTAAAGCTAGAAAAACCAATGAGTATAAAAAGGAAGTTTAGATCAACCAAAGACAATGTTTAAAGCGAAAAACAATAAGTATCCAAATATACTTGCATGTTTGGAACAAGGGAGCAAACAAATATCACTCTGAGAAATGGTAAACACAAGCGATACAAAATGACAGTCAAAGCAGTAATGCATAACAATCCATCTAAAAAGCCCACTCAGTCATAAAATATAATAAATAATTATATTCTATTCAGTGACATTTATCCCAATGTCTTACCTACTAGACTGTGTAACAGCAAACAAGCCAACACCTTCTTTTAATACGATTATTGTCTTTTTATGTGTGTGCATATCTGATTATAAAAATAGGGACTGCCAAAGAAAGAGCATGTAGGTTATGAAGTACGCACCATATTCTCCACGGCACAAGAATTACTGCTCTCAGTGTATCCACTAGTTAAAATGACAAGGCTGGAGGAGGCAAACATTTTCTCCCACCATAAAAAACACTCAGCAACAAGAACACAAATGAAACCAGTAGACTGTAGAGTCCCAGTGAATAGAAAAAATTTAAACACACACACACACACACAAACACACACACATATAAATGAGATTGTTTGACAGATCCTACTCACCCCCCTTTAAAAACGAGTCAGCTAATGAGGGATTATAAATTGCATTTTTGATAAACTGCCTTAAAAGTACACCTGTGAATTGCACACTATTAAAATATAGTATTATTATTTTACTTGGTTCAAAGCAACAGGAAACTGTCATTGAAAAATTTCAAATATGTGAGAAGAAACACGCACACCCTGTGCTTTTAAATATACTTTCTTTGTTAAGGGGTAAGCACTTTTTGCTTGCTCATCTGAATGCCTCTTCTATGGAGGGCACAGATGCTCCCTTCTAAGGATGGGAATCTGTGGTTCTTCTCATGCATTTCAGCCTGCCCAGTGATGGTGGTGGTAATCATAACCGAATAATGTATGAAGGGGCAAAGGTTCCCCAGCCCTTTGCTATGTTCTTTGGACAATGCCTACATGGATTAAATTGTGTAGCCTCTATGTGCGTAACAAGCAATTGTTTCTCAAATATGATACTGCATTTTTTAATCAGGTAACAATGACAAGTGACCCGTCAAAGTGTGAGGAAAACAAAAGCAAACGTAAAAAGGAATCAAAGGTGAGCCGTTTTAACTACCTAGTGTTTTTATGTTCAAAAACTGCAGTCAGTGTTAATTTGTGTATCTCTGTGTGTGGTTTGTAAACATCATTTGCCAAGGACATTGTGTAAATTTGCGAGCAGAGTCCTGCAAAACCAGAAGGTTGTCCTAACTTTTTGCTGTTTGTTTTCTGTTGTTAGAATGAAGTTTCAGAAAATTCACAGTTGACTTCTTTCGAAAAAACAGATTTGGCTCTTTCTGAAAGCTCCCACAGAACAGAAGCACTGGAAACAGTTTTAAATGGTGATATTTTTGAAAGAATATTGGCCCTTCTTATTTGTCACTTTTATAGTTACATCTGCTTTTTAAAATTAAAACAAATATTTATGTTAACAGATACAAGCAAAGAAATCAATGTTCTGTTATCAAAATATGCTCATATTCTAAGGCAAGTATTCTATTATATTTAGTTTATTTCCCTTCCTACCACATAGCTTGCTAAATTATTTATATCTTTGAAATTATATTTATGTCTCAGAATTCCTTAATGTGGCCAGTGGCTGTGCTTCTTGGGGAATTCTGGGAGTTGTAGTCTAACCCTCCCCATTAACACAGCTGTATTCAACATTGTTACAATGCAAATATTGCATTTTTGTAGAAATGATCCGAACCGAGTAGATAAGTAGGTATCAAAGATAAGTAGATATCAAAGATCTCTGCATATCTAATTTGACTGTAGGTGTTCTTTCTTCTTTGTTTTTTTAAATTAAGTGAGAGAGCAGCAATGGATGCGTCATATATAGCAGAGCTTGAAGGAATCCTGAAGGAAGCATGTTCTATAGAACATCACTTGAAATTGAAAAGAGAGAATCTAAGGCTCAGGTTTGCAGCTCTTGCAGGGCCTCCACAAAGTGAAAATGGATTGTCTGGCAAATGACCCAAAATCTGAGGCACTAACTGCATGTTTACGTTTATATCTGCTCTACATTAATAGAGAATGCAGTATCATTTTAGTTACCTTAATTTGTGAACCTATTTTTATTGATTTAAGAAATGTCCCAACTCTTTTCGAAGCATTGTAACATTATTTTAAAGAATGTCACCAATTAAAGTGAAAAAAGTAATTTGGATATTGGTCTCAGAAGAGTTGTGTAATGTTGAGTTTTTATGAAAAGGCAGTTACCTACAGTATTGAGTTTAATTGTGAAATTTTCTCCTTTTCTGCTTAGTGTCATCAGATATATCAGAAATACAAAGAGGAGAGAATTCTCGTGTGTGTTCTTAAAGACTTTCATGACTGGGGTCTGATGGTTGTAGTAGGTTTTTTGGGCTATTTGGCCATGTTCTGGAGGTTTTTCTTCCTAACGCTTTGCCAGTCTCTGTGGCCGGCATCTTCAGAGAACAGGAGTTAGAACTCTGTCTGTGTTCTGTTGTAGTGTATAGGATTGTTTGTAGCTGTGGGATCAGCTTTATGTGTGTTCTCAAAGACTTTCATGGCTGGGGTCTGATGGTTGTAGTAGGTTTTTTGGGCTATTTGGCCATGTTCTGGAGGTTTTTCTTCCTAACGCTTTGCCAGTCTCTGTGGCCGGCATCTTCAGAGAACAGGAGTTAGAACTCTGTCTGTGTTCTGTTGTAGTGTATAGGATTGTTTGTAGCTGTGGGATCAGCTTTTTGTTCTTTTCAGGGGATTGGGAGATTATTGTGATCAGGATGTTGTTCTTGTTTTTGTTGTTATTGGTGTATTGTTGTAATAAAGGGGGAGATGATCCATCCCTATGATTGATGGGTATCGTTAGCTAGTCTTTTGTGTGGAGTGATCATCTCCCCACCACCACAACAAAAGGACAAAAGCTGATCCCACAGCTACAAATACTCAACTATTCCACACACTACACGAGAAAACAGATAGAGTTATAATTCCTGTCCTCTGAAGATGCTGGCCACAGAGACTGGCAAAGCGTTAGGAAGAAAAACCTCCAGAACACAGCCAAACAGCCGGAAAAAAAACACAACAAGCAAATTCTCATATGCTTGGCCCAAAATGCAGTTTTCAGTGAAAAGGAGGACTAGAAGGTTATGAGTATTTTATACAATAATCACATTACATAAAAAGTCCCATTGTTTCCATATTGTGGAAATGACTAATGTTTCCATATTGTGGGCCACAATGGGTACATAATTTATATAACTTTGTATTTTAAAATCTTGATTTCAAGAGAGGAGAGTTAAACATATTGTTAATTGTCACACTAAATCTTTTGGAACTAAACAGTGCTGAACTCTAGTTGAATTGTGCTTTGGATATTTTTACAAGACACCCATATTTCTGTTAAATAAAGGAGCATTTTTCTTGGTGATTTTTTGGGGAAGTTTTTCCTTTAGTAATTTTTTGAATTTTGAAAATTCAGCCGATGAAAATGAAATGAAAGGAAGAGGAAGGTTATCTTATTTTGTTTGTATACAGTACCGCCAAGAACTACCTATACCCTGACAGTTGTGCCTCCTTGTCTTCCAAATGATATCAAAATGGGGAAAATTACTTTCCACAGTGTATAAGTACACTTGAGAGCTAGTATGGGGCAGTGAATAGTGTTGGACTGGGCTTAAATCCCTGCTTGTCCATAGAAACTCATGGTGGGTCGCAAATGGTAAACCAATCCTTGAACATTTCATGTACCCTGAAAAAATTATTAGAATCACTATAAGTCAAAAGTAGCCTGATAGCTGTTAACAACGGTGAATATATACTCTTAAACCATTGTTAGTAAAATCAGTGTGTCAGCAATGCCGGCAAACTATTTTTCCTTGTTTCTGAGAAATGCATTTTATAAAGATCTGTGTTTCCTAACTTTTCCTTCCATAATCCACTTTTCTTCTTCTTAGTGGGTGAGGTTTGAACTGATAATTAATTGGGGTTAAACCTGTCATATCTCATCAGCAGAGCTTAGCTGCTAATTAACTTGTCCTCTAATGTTTTCCATCCTGTTGTTTAAATGGTGGCACCTCTAGTAGTAGATAGCGGCAACTGGCTTAAAATCCTCACAAACCAGCACCTTCCAATAAACTATGATGAGGTTCTTTTTCATTTGTGTGTTTGTCCAGGGCACTAGCAGAAATTGCCTGCAATAGTTATGAGGCAACTTGGCTTCTAAGTATTGTGGCTCTCAGCATGGTTTAACAAGCTGAAAGAAAAAGTCATGTGGCACCTATCAATTTATTTAAGTGCTAACTCTCCTGGATTTTAATCTCCTTTTTCATACACATGGAACACAATATTCAGGCCACACATAGTGTACAAGACTGTGGGGGCAGGGACAGAGTGAAATGTCATACAGAAGATGAGAATTGTATTAGTGACACTGGATGGAGCTTTGAATGTGTGGATTACTTAAAGATCTTGTATCAATATATAACTGGAAAGGTGGTGTAAATAATAGAAAAAGTGTTATGCCCACTCCAAGGCAATGATTACTGTATTTGGGAAGCTAAGAGTTTTAAAACTTAATGCAAAGTTTATTAGAATTTTCAAAGCTCTGTTACTCTGAGCGTGAACGTTTCTCCCTGGTTGATAAGAACTTCTCTGTATCACATCCTTGCATTTAAGCCACTGTGGCTATTCACTCACTCACTCACTCACTCACTCACTCACAAATAAATAAATAAACAAATAAACGAACAAACGAATGAATGAATGAATAAATACTTCTTTGGCATGATCACCACCCTCTCACTCAGCCTTTTCAAATTTCATTTTTTAAATGTTTCACAAGTTAAAAAACATTAAACAGACAACACAGCTACTTTGGCATGATCATAAGTTAAAAAACATTAAACAGACAACACAGTGGTAAGCAGCTGAATTCTTGCCATACCACTTTAGTGCTACGGCGTTTCTTTGTTTTTTAAATCCAATTTAGGAAGTTAATTGCACTTTTCATCCTTACCATTTCAATAGAAGGCAGGCAAAAAGTGTAGGGTTCACTCCCACACCATGCCTCTGTGCATCATCAGTGATGACCTCTGGACATGCTCAGAAAGTGCCCTAAAAGGCCCAAGACATCCAATCACATAAGACAAAAGCAAAATGTCTAGTGCAACTGGAAACACTATAAAAAACACAAGCCCCTCTTCTCCCAACAAAACATACCATTTACTCATGCCAAAAGATTTAATCTTCCTGCGGTTAGCACTAATGTTTTGTAATTGATGGAATAAATATAGAAAGGAAGAGCAACAATCATGGCAAAAACATGAGAACAAGACAAGTCTTATGGCACCTGTGACGGGTTTATTTTAATGTAAGTTACAATCTGCTTCCTTAGATACATAGAGTACAATATTTAAGCCACAGGTTTATATACATGCTTCACATGTTTGTGTGGATGGGAGGACAAACTGAAATGGGATACAGAAGATGACAAATTGTTGTTAATACTGTATTGGTAATTAGCTTTCAAAATGCTTTTTACATAAACATCCTGGCAACAAGGTAATTGACTGAAGCCTCTACGTACTATAAGTTTTACTTTCATTGGAAATCTTGAGGCTTTAAGGCTGAGCCCAAATATGCAAAAGTGTAGAGAATTCTTAACAATAAAGTAATGTGGAGAGTATATAAATATGTTCTGAAGGTGTAATGTCAGCTTCATTAGCAGGAGCTCGTTATGCTCAAATTGTCAGCTGATGAATCTCAACCTAATCTTGGTAAGAAATTTGGAATTAAGAGCTCTTCTTTTAGTTTTTAAATTAATAACACTACACTACTTCATAGCAAACTTTAAGATTTTGAATGTGTCAGTATTTCTTACTGATAAGAAGTATTGCTTTAGCCTAGACACCTTGAGTTCCCCTAAGAATCTATATGTATTTCAATGAAAATTTCACCTGTAATAATTCCTATTAGTACAATTCCAGAATTAAGCCCCACCAGAGATAATTTGCAATGCATGCTTTGTTTCAAGTGTAGTGATCTGTTAACTGGCAGGCAAAGGCTCTTAAATACCGGAATGTTTGTGAGAAATGGGCATATGGTTTGCCAACGTGGAAATAGTAAACTGGATTTTTACTTGATCCAGCATGATTCTTCCGATGTTCTTCTGTTTTTGTTCTGCTTTTTGTTCTTTAAAGAGAGTGGGTTTTAGAACAGATTCGCCTTATTTTATTTTATTTTATCTATGTACCACCCCATTAGTGCTAAAGCACTATTTTGGGTGGTTCAACAGCAGGTTAAAACCATAATGAAACACAGAAGGCCGAGAAACCAGTATCACTGCTTCTGCCAGTTCTGTCTGTGCAGCCTCGTT